TACATCCAGTCTGTTCTCTACATCCAGTCTGTTCTCTGCATCCAGACTGTTCTCTACATCCAGTCTGTTCTCTACATCCAGACTGTTCTCTACATCCAGTCTGTTCTCTACATCCAGACTGTTCTCTACATCCAGACTGTTCTCTGCATCCAGTCTGTTCTCTACATCCAGACTGTTCTCTACATCCAGTCTGTTCTCTACATCCAGACTGTTCTCTGCATCCAGACTGTTCTCTACATCCAGACTGTTCTCTACATCCAGTCTGTTCTCTACATCCAGTCTGTTCTCTACATCCAGACTGTTCTCTACATCCAGTCTGTTCTCTGCATCCAGACTGTTCTCTACATCCAGACTGTTCTCTACATCCAGTCTGTTCTCTACATCCAGTCTGTTCTCTACATCCAGACTGTTCTCTACATCCAGACTGTTCTCTACATCCAGTCTGTTCTCTATATCCAGACTGTTCTCTACATCCAGACTATTCTCTGCATCCAGTCTGTTCTCTACATCCAGTCTGTTCTCTACATCCAGTCTGTTCTCTGCATCCAGTCTGTTCTCTACATCCAGTCTGTTCTCTACATCCAGTCTGTTCTCTACATCCAGACTGTTCTCTGCATCCAGACTGTTCTCTACATCCAGACTGTTCTCTACATCCAGACTGTTCTCTACATCCAGTCTGTTCTCTACATCCAGTCTGTTCTCTACATCCAGACTGTTCTCTACATCCAGACTGTTCTCTACATCCAGTCTGTTCTCTACATCCAGTCTGTTCTCTACATCCAGACTGTTCTCTGCATGCAGTCTGTGGCATTAAACCTTGGTATTGAAGTCTATGGCTGCATCATAAAACGTGAACATGTCAGAAGTTTGTCAGAGCGTCTCAGGTGGATGGGAAGAGTCATACTCAGCCAGATGAACCATCAGCTCCTCCATGTTATATCCAGTCTTGGCACTGCACTCATGAAAAAAAGCCTGGTAATGCTGCACAAAGACAAACAACAAACATTTGATTTATCCTGATTTTGGGATGAAGTTGGTTTCATATTGGCAGCAGCTTGGAGCGAATCAGTGCAGAAAGTTCTTTGAATATTCAAACGCTGCTCACCTCTGCCAGCCTCTCTCCTTCTGCTCGCATCACTTCTCTGTTGGCATCGTCTGCTAAGTCCACCTTGTTTCCCAGCAGCATCAGAACAGTCCCTTCACACATCTTATCCTGCAGAAAACAAACAAACAACTAGAAAAAAAGCTCCTTCTGCTCAATGAGTTTTTGGGGTTTACATCATTTTAAAACCACCAAGGTTTATGGTTCTCATTTGCTTCAATAAGCTCGCCGTCTATTCAAATGACAGATTTGCATTCGGCAACTCCGCCCACTTACCCTCACAGAATCCAACCATCCTCTCACCGCCAGGAAGGAGGCGCCATGCGTGACGTCGTACACGGCCAGGATGCCGTCCGCCTTCCGGTAATATTGTTCAGTGATGCTGCAGAACCTGCAGAATTCAAACTAGAACCAGAAACTAGAACTGGTTACAGATTCTGCAGCTTAAAGCGAGGAATCTGACCTCTCCTGGCCCGCCGTGTCCCATAGCTGCAAAGTGATGGCGGTGGAATCCAGAACTAAAGTCTTCATCTGGAAATCTATACCTGAAAATTAAACTATTTCATCAAAACAGCCTCCGACAATCTGACTGCAGCTAAAACCTGATTTAACTCACAGCACAGACATGGAGGAACACAGAGTTTCTTTTTTAAGGGATTTAACACCTTTTTATAGTTATACATGTTTTAGATTTGGTCACACTAATCAGAAGGATATCCTGGAGGGGAAACTGTTAGAGGCTAAAAAAAAAAGACTGAACACTGTGGTGGAGGTTTGCTTTCCATACCTTAATGCACAGTATTTAATGTGCATTCAAACCATTTTAATCAAAGTATTTTCATGAGTTAGAATGGTCTAGTCAAAGTTCGGACATAAATCCCTTTAAGAAGGTTTGGGTTTCTAAAGGTTGCTGGAAACATTCAGCTCATTCTGCGTTTCCCTGAAAACTCTGCACCCTGCTGGTCGAACATTAAACTGCACTGGCAGCTTTATTCTGAAGCTTGCAGTAGAAATGTGACAAAATGCTAAAAAGTTCAAGGAGACGAATACTTTAGTAAAATCTTCCGTTTCCTCGGCTGTTTTTTTTACTTCATTCAGAGTTTATTTTCTAACCCTCCTCCCTCCCTCCTGGCGTCCAGCAGCAGCTCCCATGTGACCCAGCGTAAACACCAGGCGTGTATTTCTGTCATGACGGAGTAATGTGTCATGTGACTGTTTACACAGCAGGGCGTTTGGCCTCTCAAGGACAGACTACTTAAAACTCCTTTGCTGCTGTCGCATGAATCTGCCTGAGGAATATTGACTTAACTTAAACTCGTTTACTTTCAACAAGTCTGAGTCGGACCAAACAAATGCTTGTATATTTATGCCGAGCGATAAAGAAGCGAGGAGTTGAGCTGCGATGTTCGACCTGAACGAGTAAAACAGCTCTGCTCTGCATGATGGCTGAGAGGCTGAAGTGCCGTTTCTCAGACCTGCAGAGTAAAAGCAGTGAAACCTGATTCACACACAGTGGGTCAAAGGTCACCGGGTTCAGCTGTCAGCTGGGAAACGGTTAGACCACCGTCGCACGGCGCCGCCAAACGTCACAGAGGACGTTACCTCAGCTCTGCTCTCATTTTCTAACCTCACTGGTTCATCATGGAAGCTTCTCTCCGTTTTACTCCCATTTAAACCTTAATATTAGATTAATACTGATTCAGATCTCCACTATTCTTGCAAAAGTTATTGTAAAAACAGCATTTTAAGAAGATAAATGTTTTATACTTTTGAAACCTTTATGGTTTAATGTTTTCCATTTCTTGGTTTCTTTTTGTGCTGTTAAAGATGCATTTGTTTTGCATTTATATGCATGTGTTTAAACATGCCTTTTTCCGCACTGCTGCTGCTGTTCCTGCTAAAAGTCTTTACATAAAGTTAATTTGAAATGCAGCAGCATGTTCTCAAAGGAAAAACTGCAGCATTGCATGAAACCAGCAGCGTTAAAGGGATCAAAAATCTTTCTAGATCCACATCTCTTTGGTTTGGTTTTATTCTGTGTGTTTTAGATCTGGTGGCTGAGATTACAGGTGCTTTGCTTTGTTCCTGTTGAACCACTTTTGGACCATTACCGATCAGTAACGTCCCATTTTGGCTTTCTGACCCATTTCTCCACATTTCAAACATGCTGCTGATTTAAACACTAGATGCAGCGAACGCTGCTTTAACTGGGAATCGTGAGAGAAACAGTCCAACAGCCTCACAGGTCGTTTAACATCAGCTAAAAATGCTTTTTCACATTTTTTTATTTCTATTTGGCTGCTTATGATCAAAGTACAGAGATTAGGGCTCCTACAAAGGCAGTCATTCTATCTTTATTTATATGATTCAATATTTCACTGCTTTAGTTAAGAGTTCTAAATGATCTAATTCAATAATTTGATATAATGCATTCTTAGCGCCAACATATTTAGCAAAGTTTGCTTTCTGTTTTTCTGACTCAAACGTTCAATTTTCACTTCTTATGTTTATTTAACTTAACTTTTTTATTTTCAAATGTAAAATATTAATATATTTATCACTTTATTGGAGACATTTTCAAACTGAGCAGGCTTGAAACACGGATACTGGAAAGAAGAAGAAAGAGAAGCAGGCAGATTATCCAGGAAAGGAATACAATGAAGGAAGGAAGGAAGGAAGGAAGGAAGGAAGGAAGGAAGGAAGGAAGGACAGAAGAGAGCAGTGAGACACTGATGGGAAGAAGGAAAGACAAAGAAAGAATAAAGGAGGACAGAACTCAACAGGAAGCAACTTCCTAAGCGTTAAAAGAGAAACCGTTCAGGCAGAAGCTGAAAATATAGACGTATTCCTGAGCTAATCTAGATCAGGTTTCAGACGGACAGCTACAGACCTACGTTTAGCAAAGTTCACATGTTTATGTTTGTGTTGGTAGGTCAGCAAAAAACCAGTAACAACCAGTTTAATGTAGTTCTCCACCAGAGCTGTGGAGATTTTCAGTAAAAGAAATAAAAATTGAAAGCTTAAGTTACGTTTATTTTGATTGAATTGTACAGATAAGTTTGGCACAAGTGACTTTATTGCTGATTATTATTTAGACATTCAGGAAGAACAAATGTTGAGATTTAAACAGAACTATCAGATTCATTATAGAAATAATGAAATAATTCATTAATTAATCGTTAAGAGGATTATAGAGACTTTAAAACAGGCCTGTTTCATAAAAAGCTTCTTTAGGAAACCTTTAGCCGACTGATTATTCATGGGTTCATCACATTGATCAACTAATCAATTAATAGTTAGTTGCAGCCCTGATCTGAACCATTTCAATCAATAACATATCTGTGGTGATATGATGGAGGAAGTTCTTACCCACGGTGGAGGTGACCGTACTGCTGCAGTGTCCTGTGCAGTAGTGCTGAATGAAGGAGGTCTTACCCACCCCCGAGTTCCCCAGAAACACCACCTTGAACACTCGCTGTGGGCTCAACCGTTTGCTCTACAAATCAGAATAAATTTAACACCTTTACGCTTCTAGGTTTAGATTTCTGAGCGACTAGTTTAGATTCTGCCCACCTGCATGTGCACCGGCTCCACATGTTGACCTATGACCTCACAAGACGGCGGGCGCGCCTCGGATGAATCGGTCTGCTCCGACTCACCAGATGAGCTCAGCTGTCTTCAGAACCAACAGAGGGAGAAAAGCTCAATCTTTGGCTCTTCATCTCATGACGTAAAAATGAGAAACGTAAGAATTTATTGGTACAAACCTCCTCAGCGGCTTCATGTCTTGCAGCAAGTAGTTGCTTAAAATTGAGCCTCTCTTCTGCAGAGACTTGCTGGACTTTGGATTCTAAAGGTTTATGTGGAGTAAAAGAAATCAGAACCAAGTCCGTTTTGTAGATAATTTGTAAATTAATATTTTGGTTTTCAGTAAGAAATTTAACACAAATTAAATAACCATGAATGTCTTGTAGTGAAAAAAAACAGCTTTATTTAAAAGGAGGTTACGGAGACAAAAAATACTTTTATTTATTCTGCTGCAAAATAATTTAACATGAAAATCTTTTTTTTTTCCAACAATACACTTTTTATATATAAATGATAAATTATGTTATTTGCAATACTTATCCAAACAGTTCCTTGAATGTAAATGAAACAGTGGATGAAATAAACAGAGTTTCCTCTGACAGACATTCAGCCTGGATGGTTTATTTACTGGATTTAATAAAAGAAAAACATTTTTCTTCACATTGGAACAGGATGCTAAATGTGTTCTATCACAATCCTTCACTGTTTCCACAGAACATTGAGCAGATCTTTATTAGCTGCCTGAGAGCTGCTTAGTCCAGAGGATGGAGGGAGGCGGAGGGCTGGGCTCAGGTTGGGTAAACCTGCCTGCTCCACGGCTCCCCGCTCAGGTAATACGGTAACGGCGAGGGGGAAAGGACAGAGTGTCGGTGACTAACCATCTTAAGCGACTGCTGAGCATCTTTCTCATCTCGCAGATTTCTGTTCATATCCCTAATGAAAACATTAAAAGGAGATTAGAAACACTTGGCAAGAAATCAACATTGATAAAACAATGACGAGAATTCCATCTTTTAAAAATATGTTTTAACCACAAAATGCTAAAAACTGTGTTTGTAAAATAAACTGCTTCCATCCGAGCAGACCAAAGGAAAGTTTAGTGGAAGGAAGACATCTTTGGGTTAGAGACACAAGCAAGAGCTGCTGGAGTTTCTCCAAAATCCGCAGATTCATTCCTCAGCTGCGCATTTTTATTCTTTCCTAATCGGACAGATTTATTTTACCAGCAGAAGTTGGTTCCTTCCCACACGGTCAAAGTATTAATAACAGCTTTAATAACTCTGGGATACCAGAAAACCTGCCTGACCGGGTCCCTCAGAAAGGACCAGCTAGCATGCTAATGCAGCCTCCTTTAGTTTAGCATGCTAACAGTCGGAGCATCCTGCAGGAATGAGTCCTGATCGACCTGAAGGCTCCTGCTGCGATTTATTTCATATTAGCTCTGAGTCATAATCATTCCTTCTCTCTATATTTAGATTCACATACATTCCAAGTTTCTTTCTTTATGGAAATCAGATTTATAAAATTCAGTTTCCCAAATTTAAATTTGCGTTGCAGAAATAAATCAGCCTTTCCAAGATCTTTATTTCTTTGACAGAAGGAAATGAAAAATGCAGACAGTTGAATCTGTTTAGATGCAGTCGGAGGAAGAAACGTTTGTCGTCTGGTAAAAACTCACTGAATTTTATCAAACTGATTTCAGACAGGAGGAGAAAAAACTTGTATTTTTAAAGCAACCAGAATAAACATTTGACTTTTACACAGTTTTAGTTCAAATAAATTGATGGCATTATAAAGTGTTACTATTTGGGTCATAGTGCAGCTTTAAAATCTGTTGCATTAATAATAAAACGTACCTTAATATTTCCAGCTGTCTCAGCAGACTTTCCTTTTCCTTTTTGATGTTTCTCGATACCTTCGTGACATTTCTGCCGTGACCCACAGGAGGAGAGAGTTTATGAATAACCGATCTGCTGATTATTAACCCTTCATCTCCAGGTTTAATCAGATCAATATAATAAGTAACCTGGAACCGGCTGCCTGCCGAGCTCAACAATCTAAACATGAAAGATTATCCAAAGCTAAACATTTTATCCAGATAAGCGGGTCCAGTAAGGTTTAAACGGGACTAATCTAGTCGCTGACCTGTGCCGGGCCGCCTGCTCCTGGACGGCGCTGGCCTGCAGCAGGCTGAGCTGACGCAGCGCAGACTGCAGCCGCTCTCTGCTGCTCTCCACCTGCTCCTGCAGCTGGCTGTTCAGGCTGCGCAGCTGCCGGTTCTGCTCCCTGATGCTGCTTTGCTCCTGATTCAGAGTTCGGATTCTGGTTTGGAGCTGGAAGGAAAGGAAGAGTCCCGTGAAAACAAACGCCTCACAGGGAGACGTCAGCCACCGCTGAGATGCCCACCTCCTTCTGTTTGTTCATGGTGGTCTCCAACTCCTGCTCCCGCATGCGCAGCTCCTCCTCCAGCCGCTGGCCGCGCTGCTTCTCCTTAAAGCTGTCCTTCAAATCGGAAAGAAAATATCACAGCTTATAGAGAAACGCTGATGAAACTGTTGAAGGTTTCAACAAATCCTCCACATTTATTTCAACGTTTAGTAAAAAGAAGCTGAAACTATCTACAATAAATTATGTTTAGAATAAAAACAAATAACTTCAATTCGGGGGGGGGGTCCTTGGAAAAAACAAAACTATTCTATTCAGTTTATTTCTATAGCTCCAATTCCCATCATGTCATCTCAGGTCACTTTCCAGTTCACCAGATCATCCAGTCAGATTGATTCAAAGTTTTCTATCTAAGGAAAACCAGCTGATTGCATCGACTCATTGACTCTTCAGCAATCCCTCACACTAAGCATGCTTGTAGCGACAGTGGAGAGGAAAAACTCCCTTTGAACAGGAAGAAACTTCCAGCAGAACCAGGCTCAGTGTGAGCGGCCATCTGCTGAGGCCCACTGGGGTTCAAGGAGACAGAAGCAGACATAGAAAAAGAAGCATAGATACAACCTTTTAAAAAGAAAAAGAATAATAAACAAACCCCCCCCCCGATATAAATTTTAGAATGATACAAGGCTAAGCTACGTTTAGCCTCTCTTGCTAATAGGGAAGCACTCGTAATGCTAATGCTCGCTGTTTAAGGGCTGAAGGACAGAAGATTCTTTTGGGATAAAAAAAAAAAAAAAAAAACATTTTTAAAACCTTGGAACAATTATAAAGCAGAGATAATAATGTTTAAATGTTTGTAAAATATACCTGAGCGACCCATTTCTCTTTCTCCTCTCTGATCTGGCTCTCCATCTCCTCATAAATGGATCGGACCACCTGGTCGTGTTCACTCTCCCTTCTGCAGCACAGCAAATAAAAAAGAGTGACTCTTTTAAAACCTTAATCCTATAAACTGATGTACAATGCATCATGGGAGGGCTGACCTGCGTAGAGCTTGTTCCAGGGTGTCTCTTTCTCTGATGGCATCCTGCAGGTGGGACACGGCATGGACCAAAAGAGCCTCCATGGCGTTCAGCAGCTCAGGGCTGTCTCTCTGGAGATCATTCCACAGCGAGAAAAGCTCCTGCTGGCTGTTTGAAAAATACAAAACAACGCGCTTTATTTCACTAATCTGATAAATAAATGTTAGGAATCAAAACATGAGCTGAGTTTTCTCTTTCCTTAAACTCTAGACTAACTTTTTCCACGGGGAAAGTTTTGCCTAACTGGGATCATCTACAGCTTAGCGTTGGCTAACAGCAGCAACGTTTAACAGTCAAGGAGAATAAGAGATAAAAGACATTTGATTAAAAACTTGTTGGTTTTTGCAGCGATCCTTTAACAATAAAAATCCTCTTTTCATACGGATTCACATTTAATGTTTTTAAAGTCATATTCAGCTCCAACAATCGGACCGTTTTTACCGGCTGATTATATTCGGCCGATAAGAAGTCTTACTCCTTGAAGATCTTGTCCGCGCCGAGTTCCATCAGGATGTTAACGAATCGGACGGCGTTTGGGTCCCGGGACCAGTCTGCTTCCTGTTCGGCCTCCGCTCGGTCTGAGCCTCGTTCGGGCGCTTCCTCCACACCCATCAGTTCACCTGAAACACCAGGAAACACCACCGCGTGTTTTATATCTCCCAGAAATATTCACACCTCGCCCACTTCTCCTCCTTCTGTTTAACAATTAATAAAACAACAAGTACACTGGAAAAAATCCAAATCTAGATCAGTCATTTTTTCTTAAAATAATTGCATTTTTTCTTGGATTGAGGAGGTAAAAGAGACATTTTGCCAATGGAACAAGACAATTTACACTTAAAATTAGAAAACACAATTGCATTGTCTTATTTCAAGTGCATGTTATCGAACTATCTCATTTTAAGAGTAAAATTGCTCATTCCGTTGGCAAACTAGCTCATTTAACTGCTCAAATTAAGAGTAAATACACTTAATTTAAGACATTTTTTACTAATTTTAAGACATGTTTTACTCATTTTTAGATAATTTTTGCAGTGAAATGGTAAATGGCCTGTACTTATATGGCGCTTTTCCAAAGTCAGAAGACTTGACCAAAGCACTTTACGCTACATTCAGTCATTCACCCATTCAGTCATTCACCCATTCACACACACACTGATCACACACAATCATGCTGCTTTTCTAAAACTAAAATCTTTAAAGCAGGGGTCTTCAACGTTTTCCAGGCCAAGGAAGCGGGGACCCCCTAATTATATATATTGTATTCAATTGTGTTATATCAAACTGGTCCTATATGTAACGAAAGTAATTTCTCCGTGGGATTATAAAAGTATTTCTGATTCCTGGTTGAAGGGTCAGGTGTTGTGAATGAATCGGTTCCCAGCTTGAAAGAGCTCCTGCACTGCAAAAACATTCTACAAATGAGTAAAAATGTTTTAAAATAAGTGTATTCAACCTTAATGTAAGCTGGAAAATAAGATGATCTGCGAATTAAATGAGCATTTTTACCCTTGAAATAAGATAATTAGATATTATATCCTTGAAATAAGAGACTTCAGTTGTTTTTTCTTATTTTAAATGTTAATGGTCTTATTCCATTGGCAAAGTGTCTGCTCAATTTAAGAAGAAATCCACTTATTTTAAGAAATAATTACTAAATTAGATGAACAGTTTTTGCAGTGTGTGTGTGTCTCTGAATGTGAGCATTGATGACTGAAAGACATCTTCTGCCTCCATTTATCTGTTTACTGCAGTCTGTTGGATTCATGTTAATGTGGATTTAAAGACATTTCAATGAGTGGAAAAAATTGCAGAGGGAAAAAAGTCTAATCAAGCTAAACTTTCGCGACCCCCATGCAGAACCTCCATGGACCCCCTGTTGAAGACCTCCGCTTTAAAGTATGAAGCACATCTTTAATTTAAAGTCCACAAAGGCCCAATAGGCCAAACTCAGGGTGGAGTTTTTATGTTTTTACTCTCTTTAACGTTTTTTTCTGGATTCAGCTGTGGGGATGTTCTGCAGAGAAAAAAACAACAACTCCTCAGCTTCCGGTGTCCGGGAAGCTTAACGGAAAGCTGGACCTGGGGAGCCAATAAAAAAGTGTTTTCTTGGTTTGCTATCGGCTCTCTCACCAAGTCCTGCTTTAAACTCAACAGGAGTGAGGAATCCGTTGTTCTCTCGGTCCAAACTTTCAAACACCGTCTCCAGCTGTTCGGGGGACAGCGGCAGCTCGCCCTCAAGCCTCTGAGCACAGAAACAAAGACATTCAGCTCAACACTTTACAATTAGATGAAACATTAATATTCTAGCTAACTAGCTGCCCTACCTGCATGTCTCGCTTTGTGATGAACCCTTTTCCTTCTTTGTCACACAGGACAAACAGCTCTCTGGCCTTCCCCATGGTCTCCGCCTGCGGGCTCAGCTGCATGGCGGACGGCGAAGCCAGAGGAGTGCGTCTCTGAGCCGGCCTGGGACTGCCAGAGGGGAAGCTCCGCAGTCTGGGACTCAATGGGACCGCCTCGCCGCTGCCTTGGCCCACCAGCACCTCTCCATCGTTCAGCCACAGAGACATTCCTACAGAGAAAACGCTCCATCATTACATCCCGCCTGTCCATAAAACCACACGTTTCTGATCAACTGACACTGATGGTTATTTTGGCGCCGCTCCCTGGTTAAACACAGAGTGCAGCACGCTGCAACACCTGATGCTAAGCTAGCTCCAAGGCTGTTCTCCACACTACTTTTTATTACAGTCCTATCTTTTATCACTTTAGGGAATAATCCCTTTACATTTATTGCCAAATCAGTCCCAGGTTTGTCGCCATCATTTATGGCTTAGCAGGGACCAAGCAGCTGTTGTGGGAAAGTGCAGCAGGATGTGCATGAGATTAAATACAGGATGGTGTCATATGAGAGGAATTATGTGTTCCTGAAGGGCGGAGAGCAAAGCCAGAGGAGATGCAAATTAAACATTTGCAGTAGTTTGCATTGTCTAAACTGCCACAATTACAGCAGATTTGACTCTTAAAAAGCTCCAGGGGCCGAGCCATGATGGCTGCAGCTTGTTTTCCTGTTCAATCAGATCAGAACAGCCTCATTATTTCCTGCTGTTTGCAGGTTCTGATCAGCTGCAGCAATTAGTCCATCTGGAGCATCTGGACCGGATTTTAAAAGAGGACTTAGACTTCCACAGGATATCCGACACCTAAAGACTGGCTCCATCCAAGCATTATCATTCTTAATAAATACTGTGCTTTTTTTAGGGTGGGGGGGTTGCCTCGGTGAACTGCTGGTTAACACTAAATGAAGTTAAGCTCATGTTTGACCTTTCAGCTGTCTCTGCTCTGCTATCAGCAAAGACATAAAAACTAAACTCAGAAAATCGTTATAAATTATCTAAGCTAGTGGTCTGGCTGAAGGATAAACCAGATAAACAGACTTATGTAAACAGCTTGCTTTAAATTTAATGCGTCAGCTGAGCTCCAAACCAACCAGGAGAAAAACTAAACTTTGGTGTTTCTCCTGGTTGCTTTGGATCTGATCTGATCTGAACCCAAAGTTTAGCTGAACTTTGGGTTCAGATCAACTCCTGCAGACCCAAAGTGGTGCAAAGCCAGAGGAGCTGCTCTGCGTCACTGTGTGGCTCAACTGCGAACATATGTTCTGCAAAATATGGAGACTTCTGATAAAACAGCTTAAATAAATAAAAAAAAATACATCTGCTCTGAAAAAATAAACTTTATCTAAAAAGCAAACAAACAAAGCGAAGGATCGCAGCTTGGACTGTTTTATTGAGGTAATAGAGCAGCATGCCTCCACATTAAGAAAAGCCAAATCACATCATGGGACAGTAAAGTTCAGCAGGCAGTCAGTAGACTGACTGTTTCTGAACGGCACGTGCTTCCTGGCTGTTTGTTGCTGATCAGAGGTAGAAGAAGGCTGGTTACTCACCTGCTGCAGCCGCGTTCCTTCACTCAGTCCTCTGTTACCTTTGCTCACCTCACATTTTCACTCCATTTCTCACCTCGGCCGCTAGGGGGCGAGCGCGCAATTACCAACTTTACCGTAATGTTTGCTGTAGCTGGGAAACTGGGATTTTGTTTTTTAATTAAAAGACAAGCCATCTATAAAAAAAAGAAAATAAGAGAACCTTAAAAAAAGGCACAGGTGGTTTATTATAATCATATTTTATATTTATAGTCATATTTTTTATTGCATGTTTTACAGATATTTATCATGTCAACATAAACTAAAAATGTTACATTTTTAATAAATATGAATGTTTTGTTACTTTAGGTAGCTTAAATCATTTCAACTTTAACTTTTTTCAAATGAAAATATTTTCAATAAAGTGTATTTTATTTATTTTTATTATTTTCTTTGCATCTGGTTGAATAAACTACAATTGGGTAAAAGATTTTTGGGAATTTTTTCTCAATTTTCCTCCCAATGAGGTTTAGCTCAAACCTCCAGATGTAACTTATATATAAAAATTAAGCAGCTAAGATTTATTAAATGTCAGGATGTGGGATTTACTGGGCTTCGTTAAATTTAAATATTTTGAGTTTGAATCCATAAAAACACACATATCAGATGTGGCTAACCGTGTTCTTTGATTATGTTTGAGGTAAAGTTGATGTCAGTCTGGACATGATGAACATTTACACTGCAAAAATGATCTAGAAATAAGTCAAAACGTCTTAAATTAAATGTATTTACCCTTAATTTGAGTAGGTAAATAAGATTAATTGCCAATGGGATGAGGAAATTTACACTTAGAATAAGATAATTAGATAATATGCACTTGAAATAAGACAACAAATTTTTTTTTTTTTTCATATTTTAAATGTAAATTGTCTTATTCCGTTGGCAAAGTCTCTCATTTACCCCCTAAATTCAAGAAAAAATGCACTTATTTTAAGAAAAAATGACTTATGTAGATTTTGATTTTTTCCAGTGTAGGCCACTGAAAGTAGCAGGGATCCTAATGTCTGCAGGCAATGCCAGGCCTATAATAGAAAACAGAACAGATCCTGATTTTCATGCTTAGCTTTCAAGTCATGTTTCTGAAATTCATCCAAAAATAAAAATAACTCAAGGAACTTATTATTTTTCAGCTGTAGTCTCTGCAACATTTAATCAGCTCCTAAATGTAACTGCCAGAATCCTGCCGACAGCAGGAAAATGGATAAAACTCATTTTTACAACTTCTGCAAAGTATCCATCGCTGGATTTACCGTTTCTGCTTGGAAGTTTATAATCCTTAAAATAAGCACAAAAAAATCAGCATTAAAATAAATCAAAAATTACAAAAGTTTGATTAAGTAAAAAAAAAAATCATGACACAGACTTTGAATATATAGATATATAATTATATAAATGCATAATAGACGTATACCATAAACCAATTAAACATTTACTAAGTTATCACACCAATATATTTATATGAATGCCAACAATAAAAAACATTATAAAAACTGTTTATAAAAAAGAAACATAATTTAATGTGCAGGTTTATTTTTTTCCATAATTTTTGCTCTTCTGAGGCTGTGAAGCTTAATCTGGTCCAATATTCAGTCATAAACCTAAAAAGTTTAATATATAAAAACTATTTTCTGAGAATGTGTTTATTTAAGAGCAACTATGCAAAAGAACAAAGATCTAGAAAAAGTAGACTATATTCTATTATTTTCGCTAATATGAATAATAATAATATTGAAATGACATTTTATTCTCATTATTTAATTCTTCAGTAAATCATTTTTCCATCACCTTAAACATGAAATGCTGCTGAGCAAATGGGCTTGCCTCCCCTTACCTGGCATTACGGTAAAAATGAAGCGTTGCCATGGAATTACGGAAATACATGCGCAGGCTGCAGACCGGCTGGGGGGGGCTCTGCGTCCAACTTAAGGAGGGAAAGAAGCTACAGACTGACTTCCGGTGAGTAGATTCTCTTCTTTGTTGCTTAATCCGAGTTTGTATAACAGCAGTTTTATAAGCAAAGGTCTTTAGATTATGTAGAAAATCCCCGATTTATCCGCCTCAGAGATTACCCCCCCCCCCCCCCCCCCCTCCCCCAGACTGGCTTCATTAAAGGAGACCGAAGCAGATGGAGGAACAACAACAACAACAACAACAACAACACAGGAGATGGAAGCTTTACCTGCGAAATGTTCCCAGCGATAATCCCAGTTTTCTACATGGCTGCCTGCGTAACAGCAGGCTGCTCTACATACATAGATCTGTGGCTGCTCTGCATGCATGGATCTACGGCTGCTCTACATGCATGGATCTATGGCTGCTGAGGCACAGGACCTCCGTCCGTGGACCTTTCAGGGATCCTGGATGTTTTTATTGTGCAGAAAGTTTGACCTAGATCCGCCTGCTTGTTCCTCAGCCTCTATATTTCCCTTCCAGGTGACTGACTGATCCTCCTGATGCAGGATGCCATCATACAGGATCGAGCAAAGCAGGGATTCAGCCCATAGTTTGGATTTACTCCTGCTTCATTTGACTCTTTAATGGACGTCTTCTGTATTGAGAATGAAAGATGCAGGTTTAGAGAGAGTGAATGAAATCAGGGAAAGCGAAGGAGGACGGTGAAGATCAGGTCCAAGATGCTTCAGACTGGAAACTATTCCCTGGTTCTGCTGGTCCAACTGGTGCTGCTGACCTATGACCTCTTTGTGAACTCGTTCAGTGAACTTCTGAGAAGAGCTCCTGTCATCCAGCTGGTGCTTTTCATGTAAGTCATAAAAAAATAACCAGATAATACAAATATAATGACACACACACACAGGTATATATATTCCCTTTCTGAAGGATGCATCATTTTCTAGGATTTCTAAACTTTTAGGCTGCCATTTCTCAATTTTTGATAATTACTATTTTTCAAATAATTTAGTAAAATCTAAATTTAAAAATTAATAGAAATGTAGGAAAATCCAATCTGACAAAAAAATGTTCTCAATTATTGTACGATGCAGAACCTCTGATGCATAAATGAAAGGATTTAACCTGCAAATACTAAATAATAAAAAAAATGGCTGATTCTGATATTTGACGTTTGTTTCACTAGTAAATATATATCAAAGGTGATCCTAAAAAAACAAACATTTAATATAGCAAAATCTCAAAGTTCGACATTTTCTCTAATTTTCTTTTCAGATCCAAACATTTCTGACATCATAGCTTTGCCTTTTAATGATTTCTATTTTTCTGTTAACAGGAATTTATTTCTGAATGATTAATTCCAAGTATTAAAGTAAAGTTAAACTTTTTTACATTAAAGAAGATAAAATGGCTTCAATAAATAACGAAGGTAAAGGATCCCTGTGGGATTGATCGTCTCCACCAGCAGCTTTTCAATTTTTAATATAATCCCTGAAAACATCAGCCGCCATTTTTTTCACCCAGGAAATGTTTTAGATGTTTAAACCAGGAGGCAGAAACCTGCGTCTACTTTCACCAACATTAGTCTAACATAGATGCAGCGCTGCCCCTCCCCCACCTGTTGGCGTGTGCTGCAGGTCTGATGGCTGAAGGATGGATGCAACACCGCTTGTAGAGACGCAGACGGCCGTAGTGTAAAGATTAAAGGGGCGGCGGCCATCAGTCTTATTAAGGCTGAAGGCTTTACCTGAACAGTTAGCCCGGCTAACTTCAGATTATTGTTGTGTTACTATATAAAGAGCAGCAGATTATTCAGACTCTGCACAACTGTGTGACTTTATTTCCTCACGCCGACCATAGTGAGAGAATTTATCACTGAGTGACACCAGCACAGAGGAAGAAAATAAAAAAACTTTACTGACCGTTTCCTGAAAAACATCTGAACCTTAAAGTTCCTTAAAATACTCAATTAAACCTTTTCTTGTTAATTATAGTTTTGTAAAGATGTGTTTTAATAAAAGTTTTAACTGTAGAAGTTTTAAAAATGAAACATATTTACAGGAAAGGTGTCACATCTTCATCTCATTTCATTAAAATCAGCTCAGCAGGATTTATTCATGTTTTATGACGTCACCATCTTTGAATGACATCAGCGCCTGTGTTTGCAGCATCCAGGACATCGGCATCCTCTTCAACGTCATCATCATCCTCCTGATGATGTTCAACACCTACGTGTTCCAGGTGGGCCTGGTTTCTGTCCTGCTGGGCAGATTTAAGGCTCTGCTGCTCTTCTCTGCTCTCTACCTGACCCTCAGCATCTGCTTCCACTGCTGGCTGCTGGTACGGCGACGCCTTCACACGGTCACACACAACCAGAAACAGATTTAAATGATTAATTAGCTGTTTTAAGCGTTAATTGGGTTCTTTCGAAAGCTCAGTATTGATCGGATCTCTGTCAGCCTCTGGAATCAAACAAACTTGAACTGAACCCGTCTGACAACAGGAAGTAGAACATCAACACGTCAGTGACTTCAGCAGCTCTACTCATCCAGAACCACACGCAAAGCTCTATAGAGCTGCAGATATCAGGGATTAAATGCCTTTAGGGGGAAACTTTGGTCAAAGATTGTCGCAAAATATCTAAACATAGATTTACGGAAGCAGCCGTTCAAAATGTTCCTTCCCATCAAACGGCAGACGAATAGCGGCCCCGCTTCCCTCCATCTTCCAGCCCCTGCAGTGACCCCCCCCCCCTTACACATTTTTATATACTCCACCCTTTCACTGAATTACAGGGTCTGACCAGCAGATGGCGCTTCTCTTTAGAGCTTAATGTCCACAAATCATGACAGAATATTTAATACAAAGATTGATGTTTAAAAAGGAATTGTAGGGGACCAGCCAAGGGCCCATTAAGGACCAGCCAAGGGCCCATTAAGGACCAGCCAGGGGCCCATCAAGGACCAGCCAGGGGCCCCATCAAGGACCAGCCAGGGGCCCATCAAGGACCAGCCAGGGGCCCATCAAGGACCAGCCAGGGGCCCATTAAGGACCAGCCAGGGGCCCATCAAGGACCAACCAGGGGCCCATTAAGGACCAGCCAAGGGCCCATCAAGGACCAGCCAAGGGCCCATTAAGGACCAGCCAAGGGCCCATTAAGGACCAGCCAGGGGCCCATCAAGGACCAGCCAGGGGCCCCATCAAGGACCAGCCAGGGGCCCATCAAGGACCAGCCAGGGGCCCATTAAGGACCAGCCAGGGGCCCATCAAGGACCAACCAGGGGCCCATCAAGGACCAGCCAGGGGCCCATCAAGGACCAGCCAGGGGCCCATTAAGGACCAGCCAGGGGCCCATCAAGGACCAGCCAGGGGCCCATCAAGGACCAGCCAGGGGCCCATCAAGGACCAGCCAGGGGCCCATTAAGGACCAGCCAGGGGCCCATCAAGGACCAGCCAGGGGCCCCATCAAGGACCAGCCAGGGGCCCATCAAGGACCAGCCAGGGGCCCATTAAGGACCAGCCAGGGGCCCATCAAGGACCAACCAGGGGCCCATTAAGGACCAGCCAAGGGCCCATCAAGGACCAGCCAAGGGCCCATTAAGGACCAGCCAAGGGCCCATTAAGGACCAGCCAGGGGCCCATCAAGGACCAGCCAGGGGCCCATTAAGGACCAGCCAAGGGCCCATTAAGGACCAGCCAAGGGCCCATTAAGGACCAGCCAAGGGCCCATTAAGGACCAGCCAGGGGCCCATCAAGGACCAGTCAGGGGCCCCATCAAGGACCAACCAGGGGCCCATCAAGGACCAGCCAGGGGCCCATCAAGGACCAGCCAAGGGCCCATCAAGGACCAGCCAGGGGCCCATCAAGGACCAGCCAGGGGCCCATTAAGGACCAGCCAGGGGCCCATCAAGGACCAGCCAGGGGCCCCATCAAGGACCAGCCAGGGGCCCATCAAGGACCAGCCAGGGGCCCATTAAGGACCAGCCAGGGGCCCATCAAGGACCAACCAGGGGCCCATTAAGGACCAGCCAAGGGCCCATCAAGGACCAGCCAAGGGCCCATTAAGGACCAGCCAAGGGCCCATTAAGGACCAGCCAGGGGCCCATCAAGGACCAGCCAGGGGCCCATTAAGGACCAGCCAAGGGCCCATTAAGGACCAGCCAAGGGCCCATTAAGGACCAGCCAGGGGCCCATCAAGGACCAGTCAGGGGCCCCATCAAGGACCAACCAGGGGCCCATCAAGGACCAGCCAGGGGCCCATCAAGGACCAGCCAAGGGCCCATTAAGGACCAGCCAGGGGCCCATCAAGGACCAGCCAGGGGCCCCATCAAGGACCAACCAGGGGCCCATCAAGGACCAGCCAGGGGCCCATCAAGGACCAGCCAGGGGCCCCATCAAGGACCAACCAGGGGCCCATCAAGGACCAGCCAGGGGCCCATCAAGGACCAGCCAGGGGCCCATCAAGGACCAGCCAGGGGCCCATTAAGGACCAGCCAGGGGCCCATCAAGGACCAGCCAGGGGCCCATTAAGGACCAACCAAGGACCAGCCAGGGGCCCCATCAAGGACCAGCCAGGGGCCCATTAAGGACCAACCAAGGACCAGCCAGGGGCCCATCAAGGACCAGCCAGGGGCCCATTAAGGACCAACCAAGGACCAGCCAGGGGTCCATCAAGGACCAGCCAGGGGCCCATCAAGGACCAACCAAAGACCAGCCAGGGGCCCATCAAGGACCAGCCAGGGGCCCATCAAGGACCAGCCAGGGGCCCATCAAGGACCAGCCAAAGACCAGCCAGGGGCCCATCAAGGACCAGCCAGGGGCCCATCAAGGACCAGCCAGGGGCCCATCAAGGACCAACCAAAGACCAGCCAGGGGCCCATCAAGGACCAGCCAGGGGCCCATCAAGGACCAGCCAGGGGCCCATCAAGGACCAGCCAGGGGCCCATTAAGGACCAGCCAGGGGCCCCATCAAGGACCAACCAAAGACCAGCCAGGGGCCCATCAAGGACCAGCCAGGGGCCCATCAAGGACCAGCCAGGGGCCCCATCAAGGACCAACCAGGGGCCCATTGAGGACCAACCAAGGACCAGCCAGGGGCCCATCAAGGACCAGCCAGGGGCCCATTAAGGACCAACCAAGGACCAGCCAGGGGCCCATCAAGGACCAACCAAGGACCAGCCAGGGGCCCATCAAGGACCAGCCAGGGGCCCATTAAGGACCAGCCAGGGGCCCATTAAGGACCAACCAAGGACCAACCAGGGGCCCTTTAAAAGAAGTGGGGAAATGTTGAAAGGCTCCTACTGTAAGACTGATGGAGGCAGTTATTTCCGCTAAGTTTAATCCAGTTTAAACTTAATCCAGTTTAATGCTGCGCGATTCGTTTCCTTCTTAGTAAAACGGTTGAGTCGGTTTGGATAAATTGATCTTATTATTAAATCAAAGCGACATTTTAAATCTGTTTCTGAGAAGTTCGTATTCCAAGTGTATTCTAGGTGTTTTATCTTCCTGTTCCCAGAACCTCCGATGGTTGGACTCCAACCGTTTCGTGTGGACAGACGGTCTCCTGGCTCTCTTTGTTTTCCAGAGGACAGGTAAGTCCTCCCATTAGTCTCACAGATCCAGACCTCAGTGTCTGTCCCACTAACAGTTCCTGTCCTTCACCAGCGGCCGTGTTCTACTACTACTTATACAAGCGCACAGCCGAGCACATGGGGGACCCAAGGCTCTACGAGGACTCCATGTGGCTCAGGGAGCAATTCGCCAGAGCTCGCCAGTGACGGCGGGAGGAGACGACCATTGAGGACCGGACTGGGCAGGCTGATGGGGGACTGGGAGGACCAGACTGGGCAGGCTGATGGAGGACTGGGAGGACCATTGAGGACCAGACTGGGCAGGCTGATGGAGGACTGGGAGGACCATTGAGGACCAGACTGGGCAGGCTGATGGAGGACTGGGAGGACCATTGAGGACCAGACTGGGCAGGCTGATGGAGGACTGGGAGGACCATTGAGGACCAGACTGGGCAGGCTGATGGAGGACTGGGAGGACCATTGAGGGGGACCTGTTATCCTTGCAGTCTGACGTTGGTCTGAAATGTGTTGGAATATAAGAAGAGGATGGATGGTCAGAGAAGGACTGATGTTTACTGGCTGCTTGCTGTGAGCGCGGCGCTGTGAGCGCGGCGCTGGCAGGCGAGCCACAGGCGGCTCATGAGGACCAGCATTCATCAGGATTCAGCCTGTTCATCTTTGTGGCCTTTTAAAATAATCAACCAGACTTCCTGCAAATGAACGAATGGTTCAACTTTAGTCTGCCTTCATGTTCTGTCCTGTTTTCTACCCATCCACCCCCTTAGCAGCTGTACCCCCCCCCCAGGCTGCCTTAGTGCTGTTTACATGTTAAACATGAATTAAACCAGACATCTGATGTGCATTCTCTACAGGTTTCTAGTTGGATTCTTCTAATTTTGTATTAAATAATCCTTGTGGAACTGAGGTGTAATCCTTCATTAGTGGACGGTCAGTTTGATCCAGCAGACAAGGTGAACCGGCTGCCCTATTTTTAACCTAAAGATTAATCAGGGATTGAGGTTTTAAAGCGCCGCTAGTGAAACGCTTCGCAAATAGCCTCCAGTGTGACAAAATAAGTTCACTATTCTTAGCCTGCTTAGAGCTGCAGGCGGGTAATAAAGTCACCAATGGTTCCCCCCCCGCAGTCTCTATAAATGTCCCACTGAGCACTAAATCCATCTTTATACGCCGCCGCCGAAAGCTCTGCATGTTTCTGGGTGAACAGAAACTTTTTCTCACTAATGGAAATATGTAGAGGCAGCCATGTTTATTTTCAGCAGGAACCTTTAGGTCAGTTTAATACTATTAATATGATTAATTTTGATTTTCTGGAGTTTTTAAACGACACTAGTGGCTCTTTTTTTCAACAGAAGGCTGACAGGAAAGAGGGTATGAGAGAGAGGGAAAGGATCACAGGTCGGATTCGAACCCGCATCGCCGCCTCCGTACATGGTTCGTTCACGTTAACCCTTTCATATCACTTGTTGATACTAAAGGGTTACAGCAGCATCCAGCTCAGGTCCAACTACAGGCCTTAAAGGTCTAAACTTCCCTCAACTGCGACTCTGGAGCTCCGTTTCCATAGGCCTTATGAAACCGTGCTGTGATTGGTCCGAGGACGGTAACCCAGGTAACTGTTGAGTTAACATGGCGCGCACGACTGAACCGGACCGCACTAACATGGTACTACTTCATCAGTGATGAAACTCAACGTTTATCATCGTTTCCTGCGTCTGGAAGCCCTGATTAGACGATCGTTTGTCGTTTCCACTTCCCAAAAGCTGAATCTGTCAAGTAAATCCACCAATGGCGGCCTTCTTCGCCCGACTCTCCGCAAACAATGAAACATCACAATTATTACCAAACTTCCTGAACGTTACGAGCGCCGCCATGTTGGTTTCCCTGCTGTAGTACCGTAGATCGCCACAGATCGGGTTCAGAGGGCAGTGTAAACGGAAATGTTTTCCAGTCAACCCCTCAGCATGATGCTCCCACCTCCATGCATCACTATGGCGCTCTCTCTACAGAACTATCGGTCTCCGCCAGTCACGTGACATTTGTTGCTAAGATGCCATTTTAGGTGGAAAAGGCGTAGTGTAAACAACCGCAGCATAGCTAAATGAAGGACTAAAGGCCCGTTTACATAGCAGCCTGTCCAAGATAAGTCATTACAGTTAACATAAGCCTGAAAACAGGGGCGGATTTAGGAAAATCGGTCTCCGCCAGTCACGTGACATTTGTTGCTAAGATGCCATTTTAGGTGGAAAAGGCGTAGTGTACCGCGCCCGAGGTAAACAATTGACGTCACTTGGCGGAGACCGATTGAGCTTTTCCATGTAAACCCTTTTTTCTGGTCTCATCAGAAAATTCCTGTTCTCCTGCTAAAACTGGAAACTTTATTTTCACTAAAGCTTATTGGAGAATTAAAAGTTATCAGATTAATAGCTTTAAAATCTGAATGATTTTACTGGTGGACTTTTTTTTTTAGCTGTAAGGTTACCGCTGGCAGGTTTGCCGTTTCTCCTCCCATCATCAGATCCTATAACCAGGCTCCACCGGGCGCCTAAAGCCTGGGGGGCAGTTCTAATAACATAACTCTACGTCGCTCCTAAATGTGTGGTTAGTTTCCTGATGCCATTTGCTCCCTCATTATTAGCAAACCTCCAAAGCCCTGAGGAAGCCTGTATTTATACTGAGGTGGTCTATTAATTCATCAGGCAACTTGATTAAAGTGAGCTGGATCCAAAGATGCATCAGATTTTACAGTTTTATTCATAAAAAACCAAACATCTCTTCGTCTTCGTTCTTTATTGCATGAAACTGCATCAAATGACCTGAAATCTGTGGTTTAATGTGACAAAATTCTGAAAAGTTTACGGGTATGAATATTTAGAGATGCTAAACAATCACTGATCAGGCAGAAAGACGGACGGATCCCGTCTACCGGGAATGACATCCAGAGTCCATGTGATTCAAAAACGTCTTCAGTGCCGAGAAATTAAAATGAAGCTTCGCATGTTCAGGATGTCCTTCGTCCCGCTGGAATGTGGAATAATCGTGGAATTCAGCCTCCTAAAAACAGGAAGCAAACAGAAACACTTTCAGCATGATTGTAATCTAAAGTCTATAATCCAGATTATATAATCCCTACCTTCATACATAGATGCCGACCCAGAGCAGTAAGAACAGAACACCGAAGCCCATGAAAAGCGAAGCTACCAGGGAGATCAGCAGCTCCTTATAAACATCCCTGGTGTACTTTGTTGATGTTACTTCATAACTGATGGAAAGTTCAGGTTAAATCGCACAGAAATATGAGCAAAAAAAGAAGACAATAAAAAAAGAACATTAAATAAAAGAATAAACCTTAAACTGTGGTTAGATTTCCTCTACATGACACAGTTTTATAAACTATCCTTCATTTATGTTCTCATCAATGAAAACATGATAAAAAAACAGAACTACCGTTGATACCAATCTAACCACCAAACTCCACCGCCGGGCTAATTAACTAACGCGCTGCAGAAAATGTAGGAACCAATTTATGCTTCGGTTCAAACTCTGACCTACAAGCATCACTGGAAGAGATTAAATTCACCAGAACTATGAAATGAAAGCTGAACGTTCCCGGCTTTAAAACACATATTGCTGCCGTTGTTCTGTCAGACCAACATACCCATAGTACCACGCATGCAGGTCGTCAGATTGCCATACGCTTAAAAAACCCCACCAAAAATGAATTAAATCGTTTTTTCTGTACGTGACTAAAGGCAGACTCGCCCGCTGCGGAAGTATAAAGTGTATTTAGAGAAGGGTCTAGCTGCACCTGCAGCCATCTACAAAACGCCTCCCGTATAAATCCCTCCTCCCGCCCCGCCAATCATCGGCGATATTGATTTGGACGTTTCGTCATCTGGGATGCAGCGGCTCGGCGGAGCAGAAGGCAGATTAACTGAAGTGAATCAAACTGAGAAAGATGCTAACTACTAGCAAGGTAGGAGTTAGCCCATTAAAAAGTAATAATCTCCTCTAATGTTGGGATTAAAAAGTTAAATCCAAGAACACATTTCTGTACAAAGCTTTAAATGTTCAAATGAAAATGCTATAAAATCCTCCTGAAGTAGCGAACCCAGAAAGCGATGCTTCCGGCTTTAAAGCAGTTTAGCTTTAAATCCTGTTTACCTCAGAGAGACTTTATGTTTTCACACATTCATAAACTAGCCTACCCGACTTCCTGTATGCTAGAGGAGGATCTTTTATTTCCGGGTGGATCCTCTCTATCAGTGGTCCTCCTAACTGTCAATCATTCTGGCGATGTGTTTACGTAAAGCCGTCCTACACGCTCGTCCCGTTATCTTTATCTGCTCACGTTCCGGCGTATATCTTTGGTGAGTCAGACGGTCACTGAAGCTCACCTTTCTCAACGTTCTTTGAGGGTCGGAAGAGAAAAAGGTCGTTTCTCAATTCACTAGAAGGCGAGTACGGACTCGTGTTCTCACCAAATCGGTTCCTGAGAAGAACCCAGGAAAGTCTGGACTCTGGGAGAACGGGAGCACGCAGAATAAATCTGGGTCAACTGGAACAGACGCGTACTGATGACATCACCACATTCAAAGCTCGTCTGGAGCTGCATTTCACTTCCTGTTATTAATAGTCTCTAGATAATAATAAATTATGACTTTTTTCATTTAGGGGAGGAATAATAATGAACATAGTCAGATAAACACAAATTAAATGAACATTTGGCCAAATAAAACAAAAAACTCGCCATCAGAGCCAGCGGTCCTTTACACACGGCTATGCAGAGAGAGGGCCGCTGCAGACGGGCCAACGTTAGCCCCGGCCGCTGCAGACGGGCCAACGTTAGCCCCGGCCGCTGCAGACGGGCCAACGTTAGCCCCGGCCGCTGCAGACAGGGCCAACGTTAGCCCCGGCCGCTGCAGACAGGGCCAACGTTAGCCCCGGCCGCTGCAGACGGGCCAACGTTAGCCCCGGCCGCTGCAGACAGGGCCAACGTTAGCCCCGGCCGCTGCAGACAGGGCCAACGTTAGCCCCGGCCGCTGCAGACGGGCCAACGTTAGCCCCGGCCGCTGCAGACGGGCCAACGTTAGCCCCGGCCGCTGCAGACGGGCCAACGTTAGCCCCGGCCGCTGCAGACGGGCCAACGTTAGCCCCGGCCGCTGCAGACGGGCCAACGTTAGCCCCGGCCGCTGCAGACGGGCCAACGTTAGCCCCGGCCGCTGCAGACGGGCCAACGTTAGCCCCGGCCGCTGCAGACGGGCCAACGTTAGCCCCGGCCGCTGCAGACGGGCCAACGTTAGCCCCGGCCGCTGCAGACGGGCCAACGTTAGCCCCGGCCGCTGCAGACGGGCCAACGTCAGCCCCGGCCGCTGCAGACGGGCCAACGTTAGCCCCGGCCGCTGCAGACGGGCCAACGTCAGCCCCGGCCGCTGCAGACAGGGCCAACGTCAGCCCCGGCCGCTGCAGACGGGCCAACGTCAGCCCCGGCCGCTGCAGACGCTGCAGACGGGCCAACGTTAGCCCCGGCCGCTGCAGACAGGGCCAACGTTAGCCCCGGCCGCTGCAGACGGGCCAACGTTAGCCCCGGCCGCTGCAGACGGGCCAACGTTAGCCCCGGCCGCTGCAGACGGGCCAACGTTAGCCCCGGCCGCTGCAGACGGGCCAACGTTAGCCCCGGCCGCTGCAGACGGGCCAACGTTAGCCCCGGCCGCTGCAGACGGGCCAACGTTAGCCCCGGCCGCTGCAGACGGGCCAACGTTAGCCCCGGCCGCTGCAGACTATAACATTTAAATTTGTCCAAAGCATATGCAGACTCAACAGATACAGCGCATGCGTGTTGACTCTAGGTATGCCGGTCTGATGGGGTATGCTGGTCTCACTGACATATCAGCTAATATCT